TGGGGATGGCATTGTCCCCTTCCGGCATCCCTGGGTGTCCATCTGTCCCCCTCTCATGTCCCCCGCTCCTGGGGATGGCATTGTCCCCTTCCGGCATCCCTGGGTGTCCATCTGTCCCCCTCTGATGTCCCCCGCTCCTGGGGATGGCATTGTCCCCCTCTGGCATCCCTGGGTGTCCATCTGTCCCCCTCTGATGTCCCCCGCTCCTGGGGATGGCATTGTCCCCCTCTGGCATCCCTGGGTGTCCATCTGTCCCCCTCTGATGTCCCCCGCTCCTGGGGATGGCATTGTCCCCCTCTGGCATCCCTGGGTGTCCGTCTGTCCCCCTCTGATGTCCCCCGCTCCTGGGGATGGCATTGTCCCCCTCTGGCATCCCTGGGTGTCCGTCTGTCCCCCTCTGATGTCCCCCGCTCCTGGGGATGGCATTGTCCCCCTCTGGCATCCCTGGGTGTCCGTCTGTCCCCCTCTGATGTCCCCCGCTCCTGGGGATGGCATTGTCCCCCTCTGGCATCCCTGGGTGTCCATCTGTCCCCCTCTGATGTCCCCCGCTCCTGGGGATGGCATTGTCCCCCTCTGGCATCCCTGGGTGTCCATCTGTGCCTCTCTGATGTCCCCTGCCCCTGGGGACGGCATCCTCCTCCTCCAGCATCCTTGTGTCCTCCTCCCATGTCCCTGGCTCCTGGGGACAGCATTGTCCCCCTCCAGCATCCCCAGGTCTCCATCTGTCACCCTCCAATGTCCCCTGCTCCTGGAGACAGCATTGTACCCCCCTCCAGTGTCCCTCTACCATCTTCCCCTCTGATGTCCCCAGCTCCCAGGGATATCATTGTCCCCTTCCAGTGTCCCTTGGTTCCGGGGACACCACTGTCCCCATTTAATGTCCCCATTCTGCTCCCATAGACATCAACCTGTCCCCTTCCAACGAGCCCAAGTCAACTGTCCCCCTTCCAGTGTCCCCGTGGCCCTGGGGACACCACTGTCCCCAAATGTCCCCAGGGACCTGCCCTCATAGACATCAGCCCATCCCCCTGTGATGTCCCCAGCCGCTGGGGACATCGCCATCCCTCCACCACCCCAGGGAGCTGCCAGGGTCCCCCTCGGACTCCCCCAGCTACGGCAACACCGCTGTCCCTAGCGTGCCCTCAAGCACTCACCGCCTGCAGCCGATCTGTCAGCTCCCGGCGCCGGTTACGGCACTTGGCTGCCGCCAACTTGTTCCTCTCCCGCCGCACCCGGCGCTTCTTCCTCCGGCGTCAGCTGCCAGAGGGACGGGACCGTCAGTCGGCTGCCACCCATGTCCCCAAGACCCCACCACCCTCCGCGTCCCCTCCACCCACCCACCCACCCAGCGGACAGGGACGCCACTCACCGTCTCCTCACGGCTGCGCCGGGGCCGGGCACGGGGGGGGCGTGCT